TACTAGATCAGATCAACGAATAGTTTCGCACAATAAAATTTATTAGTTCTTCTTATGGGTTGATTTCCAAGTCCATGAAAATAAGAGGCATTGGCAAGGAGAGACGACTGCCCCCTCCCCAAAATTTCTCATAATAATGTCTTTATACAAGTTACTTAAAAATGTCACATATATTATGTGTATATGTAAGTGATATTTTAGAGGTGTTTTTCTATCCCCTTTTAGAAAATCATGTCCTCACCACAGACAAAAATCGGCAATTAGTGCATTAATGATTGTATAAAGTTTCGAGAAATCTTTGCCATTCTTATAGCATGATCAGCTTTACTACTAGCCACGTCAGTTTACTTATTGTATTCCACTACGTTACAGAAACTTAATTTTCATAATTGAACAGTCATACACTCGTACACAAAATTCCATTTTTGTTATTATTGATTTTTCAGAATTCAGCTACGATGCACGTGAATAATCGTTTGCTTATACCTCTTGAGATTTTGCTGCTATATAAAGGTATTTGATCTTTTTATTGAATTCTTTAATGTTTCAAACTGTATCTCGTTGAACGATGTGAAGTAACTATTGCTCAAATTAAAAATGCTTTTTGTTGTGAAACCACGGTATTCAAGACATGTTAAAAAAATCGAGTGTTTTTCGTTGTTAGTAAACGTAGTTACTGGAAAGGGTGGGAAAGCAAAGTTAATTCAAGACTTGTTGAAAAACTACAGTCATGATGCAAGGCCCTTCGAAAACAATTCCAGTCCCGTCTTTGTTAAGTTTTCAATGTATTATCAACAACTACAAGAATTGGTAAGTAACTATATACAAAGTTAGAAGATGAAACTTTGCTGCAAGAGGCTTATTGAACACGAATGTTTACGACTATGGAAAAAGACTAAGAGCATTATGTCTAAACTTACTTTTATAGAATGAACCGCTGCAAGTCGCAAAATCTTTAATTTGGACGAGAACGGTAGTATATATAATGATAAATTGATCGTAATACGATATAATATTTAAATATTATTGCTCACTGTTAACTTTTAACATAACATCATACAACACTCCCCATCTGTTCTATTTAATTGTTAAAACGAAACTCAAGATTTTTCAAAACACAACTTTCATTTTAGCTCATACTGAAATTCTGCAACAGATATACTTGTTGTTTGAATGTACAGCTATGAAACATAGCAAGTTCGTGCTTTTGACTTTTTCTCGTTCTCAGTATTGGACGGATGTTAATTTAAAGTGGAATCCGAATGAGTATGGTGGACAGACGCACATTCACGTCAGCTCATCGAAAATATGGATACCTGACTTGACATTATTTAATATGTAAGTTGGATGCAAATTTACAGAATTACTCTAACTCCTCATCACATTCATCTCTTAAGTCTAAATTTTTATTTAGACTATTTATTTGACTCGGGTACTTAAGTTACTTCAGTTCACTAATTTTTTACGACACAGATAAAGGAACATTCATTAGTTCCACTCCACTCATGATTTATTGCACTTGTGATTAGCAAAATGTCAGCCAGTCAATTGACTTTTTTGACGAAAGGAAAAGATGAGAAGTGTAACTGCTGCCACTTATCTAATTAAATATACATCACCAAGTTTCACAACGATTTAATGCTACTGCAAAGATGTCAAACAATTCCAAACATTCTTGACGGGGGAGTTTGTCAAAAATAATTTGAGGGCTATCATTAAGAAAGGGAACGGGGGATAGGGGAAATGAATGGGGAAAGGGAATGGTTTGGGGAATGAGTCGGAATAAACGGAGAATGAGCGAGAATGAGCTGGGGATGGACGGGGAATAGACGAGAGATGAGCAGGGATTGTGCTGGAAATAAACGGAGACTACAAATGACAAAATTAGATTGTTAGTTGAACTTATATAAGATATATGAATCCAAAATTACATAAGTGATTTGATTGATATTATAAATACGGACGAAATGACTCTGTAATTGGCTAGTAAACATTATCTACGACTTTTCCAACACAAACTGTAAATGTTTCGCCTTATCAACGTTTGTTGCAATTTTTTATGGTTCTCAAAAGCCTTATTTTTAGGAGTTTTAAAAGGCAGAGGAATGCCCTTTTATGTTCAAAAAATATTGGCCTACTTCACTAAAAGAGAGCCTTTTGTATGCACTTTCATATTTACAGACACTGATCTAACACACTCACTCAACAACTGAAGTCTTTCTTTTCACACACTTTAATTGTAAATATCACACTTTTTCAAACCATTTAGTTGTTAATACCACACTAGATTATTCTGTTTGCTTTGATAAGGTTTGCCTAATTCGAAAAACCTTTTTTGAGCTGAATGTACAATTCATTAAGTTCTGACTGACAGGTTTTTGCGGAATTTGGTTATTATGGTTTCGGCTTTAATATCAACAATAGTATTGCCTTGAAAATATTTGACTAAAATATTATACGACAAAAGTTCTCAAAAAAAGAGATAGTTTGATTTACGTAAATGGACTAAATGTTTTTAGAAATGTAGTAATTCTCCATTCTTTATAACTTCGAACTGTCTACTACTGGTTTCGTCATTTTGCAATTTTACAGTATTACGTGGTACAAGAAAATGTTACAAAGACATTAAAAACAAAGCGCAAGTCATTACTTCTTTTCACATGCAACAAAGTAAAGTCCATAACATCATGTGCATATTTCCTTCTATTTACCGTCCGTTCCCCGCTCATTCCGGTCCATTGTTTTTTCCATTCCTTGGTCATTCCCGGTCCATTCCCTTCCCATTCCCCGTCCATTCCCCGTTCTCTTCTCTTCAACCATTCCCTTCCCCGTTCTCTTCCCTTCAACCATTCTGTTCCCCGTTCCCTTTCGCTATTTCCCGTTCCCTTTCTCCATTTCCCGTCCCCTTCCCCCATTCCCCGTTCCCTGATTTAAAGATAGCTATAGTTTAGGGGCTCTTTGAGTTAAAGGAGTTTTAGGTAGAATGATGCAGTTGACGTTAGAAATTGAAGGTGTTATCTTAAATGAAGTAAGTGGTTATCCTCCACAGATAGGGTGGAAATTATAAGAGAAGGTTGAATTTTAAACTGGGCTAGACGAAATGAGTCAGAGTATACATCCCACAATTGATAGGGCAGAGCTTGTTGTTGGCGTCAATGGATATGAAGTTGTAAGTTTTCAACAGAGTTTTTAAAGAAGCTTTAGGAAGAGTATTCAGGATAGGAACATAGAATATATATTTTGTGCACTGCAAAGAGGATGTAAGAAAGAAAGTAGAAGTACAGGATGACATATCATACCATATATATCAGGACAACAAAGAAAAAGAGATTCAAATTATGTGCAGCAAGGACTCCTATGAAATGTATTGACAGAAATCAGAAGTTTAATAGAAAGAATGCACGAGTACTGTAAAAAGTTAATGAGTAACAAGAATTAGGGAGATGTAAGAAAAGAGAAGATGACTGTCATAGATCAGAATGTTTCAGAAATTACTAAAGATAAAATTAAGAGCGATTAAAAGAACGAAAAATTGTATTGCAGTCGTTCTTAATGTTTTTCCTTTTTAAATGTTGAAGTGTCAGGAGGAAATACCTGTTGAGTTTTCGATTGAGCTTTTTAATAAGATTCTTGAGTGAAAAGATTGCAAATTAAGGGAGCAGAAGGATGTTAGTAACAGTCTTTAAAGGCAGAGACACATTGACGTTTTTACAAACTACGGAGAATTAGAATTAAGGATTTATACAATAAAGTTTCAGGAAAAAGTAGTAAAAGATAGAATAAGGCAGAAGTGTACTTTTGTGAGCAGGAGTATGGTTCTGAGTAAAGAAACAGTACTTTATAAGCAATATTTGCCTTAAGGTTACTGAGACAGTGGTAAGTTGTGCTGTAATAATGACAGAAGAATTGAACGTGGATGTTTGATTGCAGTAAGGATAAATTATTTGTGCATTCTTTTTAGCTGTGGTGACCAATGATTTTGTAAGTTGTTGTAAGAACAGAGAGTATTTTAAGGTTAAACTATAGGGATGAAAGCATGGTTGGGAAAGTACATGAATGAATATTGGCCAAAAATTATGTTTCGCAAAAAATATGTGTGACAATGAAAGCAATCCAATAAATTCCATAGCAGTAGAGATTGCAAAAAGAATTAATAAAAAAAGGTGTGAACTTAAGGTGGATGGGATGGAGAAGTTTTACGTATGTTATTTAATGAAAAAAAATCCGCAAAAGGGAATAGAAAGGTGTAAAATGTAGTAATCTGATCAGCAATGTTATATGGTTAAAGATAATGGTGATAAAGACAAGATAGCAGGCAGAAATAGAGATTACAGATATGTAGATGATGAAAATCTGCAATACCAACACGGTCAGAATGAGACAAGTGTATAAATAAAGCACTCACATTTTAGACGTTTTAAAGAAAAGTCATAGAAAGCAGGCGTAGAAGGTTTGCTCATATGAAAAGAAGAGTATTAGTCAGGCATACAACAAAGCTAGGCATATAACTCCCTAGCAAGAGGTTCAGAGCAAGACCTACGAGAAGATGTTTGTATACTCTGTAAGAAAAAGTAAATTTGGTTGTATCACAGAAGAGGACAAAACAGGCAGACTGGTTTACGGTCGTGGCGACTACGATAAGAAGCTGAAAGTGAATGAAAAACGTTGATAACAGGACATGATTTGTCAATACGCGCGTAATACACACATATATATATATCATTCCCAAAATTTAAGCATTTTTACATATCTTTGCATTTTTCTAAAAATATGTGGACGTGAAATAGAGTGTTTTCCTCAGGCGCCATGTTTGGGGAAAATCACATATAATGAAAATAATTTAAGCTAATTTTATTGTCAGCTGACATTGGCACTTTGACGTCACATTCAAACACTACATCGTTCTTCAAGGGAGTTGGAATCTTTTTTCAGTATGCAAACCTTCCACAGCTGACTGACTTAAATTTTTATCGTTTAGCGCCGACGGAACTAATGGAGCAATGTACGACCTCAGTTATCAAGCCAGAGTACAGTCTAATGGCAACGTCAGTTTGTCTGCTCCTCTTCTCTTGCAGTCCGTGTGTCAAATGGATATCAAAAATTTCCCATTTGATACTCAAAAATGCAATTTGAAAATTGGCTCCTGGACATACGATAGCCTTGATGTGGATTTCAGACAAGCACCACCAACAAACGGCATTATTATGGACCGACTGGAACCCAATTCTATTTGGGAGTTTAAATCAGTCAAGGTTGTACATAGGTCCACTATGTACGCGTGCTGTAAACATCCATTCCACGACATTACTTACACTTTTGAATTTCAAAGAAAATCGTCGTATTACGTCATGACGATAATTATCCCGTCAATCATGCTATCTGTTCTTTCTTGTATTTCGTTTTTGTTTCCTCCCGACTCTGGCGAGAGGACATCGCTTGGGATCTCAGTTGTGCTTGGCATATTCGTGTTTATGATTATCGTAAACGAGCGGACGCCGGTGACATCCGACGGCGCACCGATGCTGACTGTATTCTTTATCTGCATCCAGATCTCCACATTTCTCTCGATAATTGCAACTGGCCTTATATTGCGTCTTAATTACGGTCACTTCATTAAACCTGTGCCTCGTTCTCTGGCATTAATAAGAGACTTCTTTGCGCGAGTATTGCGCATGGAAAATACAAAGAAGTACTCAACACAGACAGCAGCGACTAGCTTTGGAGGTCCAAACTTAGGTGATAATAAGGTATATAATTTTTTCTTTTCTTTTTATTCACGCCTCTTGTGGAAAACAACTCATTTGTTGACAATGGTTAGCGTGTTGAAATAAAATTATTCATTCAAACATCGGGCTAAATTCATTAAGAAAATCTCACACAAATTTTAATTGATCGATTCAGATACAATTCACTCAAAACCGTCAAGTATTTAATTCATTCTATTCTTCTTAGACCACAGAGGATGTTTCCCCCACAGCTCATTCCGAAACCATAAAACACTTCCAAGATGAGAAAATCTCACAGGAACCTCAAAGAATTGCAATTGATCTTAATGACGAAAGCAATGATGATAAACTCAAAAAAGAATGGAAGTTTACAATGCAAGTCTTTGATCGTTCTTTCTTTACATTTTTCCTTATGATCAGCTTTGCGCTTGCTGTTGCTATTTTTGCATTTTGGCTAAATGGATTATAAAAAATGTACCTTGATGGACTTTTCAAAAAATGAATAAAAAGCGTCCAACAACGTTCTGAGTACGCACTAACATTTAACCAAACATATAGATCGTAATATGATGTATACACTGTAAATTTTAAAGTGTTAATTTAACACTAAAAAGTGGTGTTAAATGAAAAGGTACAGAATAACACCATTTCGGGTGTTATTTTCTTACTGGTGTTAAATTAACACCGAGTTTGGTGCTAAAATAGCGCCTATTCTTAATATTATTATAGCTCTTGTTAAAGTGCTAATTTAGCCCTTAACGTCCGGTGTCAAAATGACACTTAAATTCGGTGTTAATTTGTAACCCCTTTTCTTATTGTTTTATGTAAGGCCAGTTGAACACGGGACACAAAAGTGGTGAGCAATAAATATATTTAAAAAATCAAATGATTTATATGCATGTATACACATATATAAATATATACAAGTAAGTAAGTAAGTAAGTAGTTTATTAAAATATTAATTGCAGCCTTGAGGCTGAATTACAAATATCTAAATGAGTAAAGTTATAATAACAAATAATATCTAATATCTAAAATATAATAAAATTTTACAAAGTATTTACATTTATTAAATTTACAATTATAAAAATGGTATTCGCCAACACCAACAGAGACAAAGAAAACTCCATACCTGGCCACTTTCGTGTAACTTTATGTACAGAAGGACAGGATGAACGAATTCTTCGCTTTGTTGGTGCGAGCAAGCGGAACTTTATATTTATGTTTACTTCTCAGGTTATATTTACAGTTAGATGTTGTAAATACTACCCAAAAATTGAAAGTAAAATAGGTAAAATATAAAGTTGCTGAGGAGCATATTTTGGTGCTGCCGCTCAGGCGCACTCATGCGTATCTGATACAAAAGATAAAACATACTATAAACAAGTCATTATATGTGAAACAAGTAAAGTTAAATGTATATATATATATAATTAAATATATAAAACATCTTAGAAATATTACTATATTATAATCTCTAAAGCCCCAAACTTTTCACAAACTTCTGAACTGAAAACTTTTTCTTTGCATTTGCGCGCTTGCCCATCAAAACTGTTTCCTAAAGGGCATAAATGTTACAGGCCTTTGGTGTGTATTCCATATTAAGTACATAAAATGTACCTAGAAGTAGTACTATAGACAATGAAATTTCTATATTTTTTTGACAGATTTAAAAAAATTTGCCCTTCGGTAGCAATTACAAGGGGGTCCAGACTCCCATCCATATAGTCGTGGGTAGGTGGTGTTTGCTATTTCATCATCAAAAGAGTCATCTTCCTAAACAACAGCATAAACATAAACACAATTAGAACTATTAGGTTATTGAAAGTGAGACACAATATTGTCATGTCATCACAGTAATATAAGTGCATTTTTATTAAAGCATACATAATGAGTTGTTTGATGAAGACAACCCAATCTCAAATCCTTTTGTTGGTATTGACCAAGAGTATCTCCAATATGAATTATCAAGCAACGTGGAATCTATCGATGTAAAAGAAGGAGTTTAGTCTTGTGGTAAGTTGCAAAATTGATTTAAAAATTTATAAAAAAAGTAACCAAAATTTTACAATCAATATTTCACTTTTTAGGAACCACAAAAGATTGTTCTTGGAAACGGCGGCGGTTCTAGGATTTTTCAAACATCAGTTATAGAACTTCGGAGGCGCTCCGCACCTTGGGGGTCTGAGGCATTCTCCCCTTGAAAATGCCATTTTCAGCGTTTTAGAGCAATACAACATGTATTTTGTGGGCATCGTTTTTGCGTAAAAAAAACACATTTTGCTTACGTTTTTAAAAAAAAAATGAAGTGAACAATACTTGAATGTTTTGCCAAATATTTAGGCTCATTATCATGCCAAATATATGGCTCATTAGCCTGTCTAGGAACGTAAAATTTATTTTACAATAATGCTATTCAAAAACAGATATAGTATTTAAAAATTTCTACCAAGTTGTCAGGCATAGACCCCCCTAGAGACCACCATTCAAACCTCTATGTAATGAGTTAAGTGAGAAATTTGGTACTACAAGTGACAGTTCATAGATATAGAAAAACTCAGACTTCAAACCATGCAAGTTTATTGTAGCCCTTTACCCATCTCCACATCAGTGCCAGCAAATTCACCTTTTGAGAAAAAACTCAAAATTTTTTTCTGCCAAAGACTAAGCAAAAATTATCAGAGTGAAAACTTGCTGTTAAGGACAGCTTAATGCCATAAATGTTTATTAGGCATTTCACTAGACTATTATCTTCTGTAAGTATATGCAAGATGTGCTACATAGCAATCACTAGTAGCATTGTATTTCCCAATAGAAACAGAATGTAACCAACATTCCTTTAATCATATAATTACATGAATGTTAAAATTGGTTCATGTGTCATGCTTACTGGTTATGATAAATATCTTTTTATTTGATCAAAGCTCGTTTAAATGTAAATCTGAAATAACTTAGCTTAGAAATTATAATGATCATCAGAAAAATTACCTAGTGATCATGAAAAATACTTTGCTGCTTTGTCAAATTTCAAGGTTTATCTGCATACATAGGAAGACATTTTTAGTTTATAGAAAATGCTTTTCATACATCAATAGCCCTTTGGAATTTATGGCAAACAATTTGGTATGAGCCGTCGATCAACACACATTTACATCTCTACATGAGGTGTTCAGTTAGAAAAAGGGACAATATGTGACATGGGACAACATTTCATGTATGTGAAATACTAAGGTTTAATACCATTCCAGTCAAATTGTCAAAATAAAAAGCTTCATGGACCAGAAGACTCAAAATCACAGGTTATAGTAAACAGCTTCTCATGTAATCAATGATAGTTTTCTCTAATATTAAACAATATGTAGTATAACTGTCTAATGATTGAATGATCAATGATCATAAACTGAAAAGCCCTAAACATTTGTTTATGATAAAGTAAATAATAGTATGGTGCCTTATGGCTACAGATTTTTTGTCCATTGAAATATATTTGCAGGAATGTAGGATTTCGCTGCCATATAATGGTCATGATTCCCCAAGCACTAAAGAAATCATAGCTAAAAGTCCTGCGGCAACAACAATTTTCGAAGCATCAATCTGCTTACCATACGCCATATTAACATAAATTGCGTGACACACTCGCATAAATTGACTTTGATATATTACATTCATGCATACACTTCATTTGTCCTTTACTTACGATTTTGGATGTAAATTTCTGCTGATAAAACTCAAAACAATGTTGGCTTGCTTTTTAACATCAATGTCTCAAATGTCGCTCGCGAGATCGTCTTTGCCAAGCATTTACAATTCATCCATAAATTTTTCGCCCTCTTGAAAAAATTCACAGTTTGGACAGCAGAATTCATGTAAATATATGAATTTTTAAAAGATTTCCATAAATTGCATCTGATTGTAGTTTAGTTTCTATCATGCTTATAAAAATTACTATGAAACCATCAAACATTCAATTCAGACAGTGAGCTTGACTATGTTAGTTCAGTCGAAATCCGTCAAACCAATCACAATTAAACAAAAATTCAAATGAACCAATTGTAAGATTTCAATTGGACTCCCTTATACGTCCGGCCACCCCTCTTATCGGTGTGTCTGTCCACTGATCTGGTCATTGACCAATAAAATAAGCGTTTTTGGCTATCATAGTCTCCTATATCAGTCGAACCAGTCAAGCCACCCCGCTTATCAGTCGGTTATTTCAGGTCAATTAAAATTTAACTGATCTGGTTGCCAACGAGATATTCATTGGATTAGTCATTAGTTTTCAATAATAAATAAAGCTGGATTTTTATCACGAAGTAAATGCGATAATAAAGTAAGAATAATTGATGAATTTTTAATTAATATGAATAGATAATTTTTGAATTTCAAACATCAGTTGCCCGACGGATTTTACATAGTCTAGATCCGCCCCTGCTTGGAAAATACCACACTAAGAAAAGAAGAGGAAATAGACTGTGAGATATCGAAAAAACAGATGATGCATACTATATTCCCTTGTTGGAAAGTCTGCAACAGCTTCTTAATGATAAGTCAATTCTTAATGAGGTTTGTGTTGATTGCATGTGCATGTGATGTATGTATATAATTGTCTATTGAACACAATGCTGAATATACAAAATTTTAATATTACCATTACCTTAGCTTTGTTCTGCACATGACAGTATCCGACCCAATTTTGTGTAGGTGGAAAATCCTCATTTTTGCACCAGTGATTTTTGTCTGATTACTGTGATGGCGAAGGCTTAAAAGAGCAGACACTATTCAGTAAAGATCCATTAGCATTGCAAATTCTTATTTATGTTGATGAAGTAGAAGTTTGTAACCCATTAGGATCAAGAGCTAACAAACTTAAATTAGGTTAGTACCATAATTTAATTTAATGTGCTAGTAATTCCCATTCTGTAGGTTTAAAAATGTCTATTTCATTAAATTTTCCGGTTACCTTTTGCATTTCATATAGCCGCTTTTTATTATACAATAGGTAATATATGTCCGGAAGACCATTCTCACATCATTTCCACTCAACTACTTGGACTAGTGTCTAGTAAGCATCTCACGATATATGGTGTAGAACCCATGCTAATTGCATTTCTTAGAGACCTTCAAAACTTAGAACAGGTATTGGGCTAGTGTTGATGCATGTTTTTAATGTTTTGTTCTTTTAAGAACTCTAATAAATTAAGGAATAAATTAACTTTTTAAGATGGTGGCTATGAGTTTATAATAAATAATCAGCAAAGATGCTTCGCAGGAACAATTGCATTTATATCTGGCGATAATTTTGGTTCACAATATCTTGGTGGGTTTTGTAATGTTTAGAATTTATCTTACTCCTTTATTATCTATCTATTGTGCTCTCGACTATCTGTTCGTAAACAACATTTCTCATTCCTATATATACATATATGTCATTCACTTTTAAGGGGCGTGTCTACAACACTACATCCCTCC